CTTTAATAAAAAGCCAGCGTTTGATGGAAATTCGAAAATAACTGTATGTTTACTAAATTTAAAATTTCTTTTATATTTACATACTATAGATTTCACTAAAAATTAAGCGGATGCTTAAATAAATAGGTACTTAATCCAACGCATGTTTTTTTGTTTTATTTGCAGAAAACTTGGCTTGGATCAAGTGCCACGAATCGGTCCATTAGCAGTTGATCCGCATAACATCGGAGTTGTAGGTCTGTACAACGTGCATGTGACAAGTGCAGATAACGCAAAAGCATCGTCGGTAAGACAAACATTTGCATAGTTTATAAATTTGTATAATACCAATATAATTTATCAATTTTTTTCAATGCAGAGTCGCGGTACGTTACGTCGCAAAGTTCAGCGAAAAATACTTACACACCATTTATACTTTTGTATGCGTGATTTTGGCCACCGTATTGGTGGCGATGATGCTGAGGTATATTTCTTCCTATACGATGCCAATCCATCGCGCATGCGCGCGCTATCAGAACGTTTTTTGGTGAAAATATCAAAAGATGGTTTCTCAAATTATATAGAAAAGTTGCATAGCAACTGTACGGTATTCACAGATTTAGGTATGTTAAGATAAAAATTTCCATAATAAATTAAGATCATTGTGTATAAACTTTACATGTATGTATGTAACTTGTATATCAAAACTGTTTTCAGGTGCTGTGGATTTGAATGAAGATTTACATTTAGTGGCTGTGGTAATGCGTGTGGGGAAAATCATTCCGTCAGAGACGGGCAAAAAGGTTGAGAAGAATAATAGCCTTTGTTGTACGGGTCCCACTTATCGTCGTCCTTTTGGTGTGGGCGTGTTGCCACTAAATGAAATTATTCACTATGATAGTTCTGTCGAAACAGAGGAGAAGGAATTTAATTTTAAGGTTAGTGTACTCCGCTATGAAAAAAAATCATATAATCATAATTTTATATTTAAACAAGTAAGAAAGTCTAAGTTCGGGCGGAGCCGAACATTAAATACCCGGCGCAAGTATTAAATATATGTTTTTTCACCCTTCCGAAACCTTCCGCTAGATGGTAAGCCGAGGTGTATCAATTTTGAGTAAATTAGCGTCCTTCAATTTCGAAATATTGAAGTTTCAAGCATTTCTTAAATTTACCGTTATATGAGAATCGGCCGTTATTTTAGTCCGATTTCAATAATTTTCAACGTTTTGCTTACACGTGGCAAGTACAATAACCATACCGAGTTTGGTACAAATTCGTAGAACGGTTACCGATATACTTATATGTGATCATAAGTGGGCGGTGCCACGCCCATTTTCCAAAATTTTACCATAAACGTATTTCTTGGTAAAGAATTGTTGCAAGCATCAATTTTGAATAAATTAGCTTCAATATTTAATGATTTATCGAAGATTTTGTATTTCTCTAAATTACCGTTATATGGGATGTGGGCGTGGTTATTGTCCGATTTTAAAAGTTTTCGGCGGTTTTTTATGCTGTACCAAGGCCAACAACTGTGCCAAGTTTGGAAGAAATTGGTGCAGCGGT